CTGTGTGGCTTGGCTTCTGTGCCCTGAAGGGCTGACTAAAGTTCAGTCTGAAGGTACCTTGTAAAATTCCAGCAAAGCAAATTTGAAAGAGCCTATATAATCAATTAGTATTCTTGCTGTGTTCATGGAAATAATCAGGCCAAATTAGAAATGCAGTCTCTTGGATAAAATGAGGGTGATTTAGGGAGAGAAACTGTGTTTCAGTGGAAATCACAATGTCCAACTGTCACCCATAAACTGATTGAATCCTAGTTTTCCTCCAAGCTAATGTTTCATTTTTGTTTCCATCCTTTGACTTGGGAATTACTGAGAGCCACTGATGCAGTGTCATCCACACAGAATTCTCCAACCACACCGCCTCTCCCTTTTAGGGATTTTGAGGTTCAACATCTGGCCTTGGTTTTTCTAATTCCCTTCCTAGGACTCATAGCAGTCTTTTTCTTTATTCTTGTTTTTAGGCCATGTCTCCTCAAATATCCCATATCTTTCATTCAACGGAGTGTCCAGGCTCTGAAAGATTCTTTCCACAAATGACCTGCAGCCACAAGTATGGGCTGTCCAATTCCACCCTCTTCTCCTTAGTGACCCACACCTGGACCCACAGACCAGGCCAGTACTATATCCCTAGCCTGTCTGAAGTAGTTACAGAAGAAGAGACCTTCATCCCCACTCCCCAAAACCAGAACTGGGCCAGGTAAGTAAGAGTAAATCCATTTTAAAACCGGAATGAAAGGGCAAAGCCAGCCCCACTCCCTATTGCCTCACCTCTTGCCTACCAGGCCTGTGACCTTCTAAAACATACCTGACATTTTACTCTTCTGAGTTCATGTCCCCAGGACTGGAAATGACAGGAGAACAAGAACAGGACTAACTGCTCCCTACGGCCACAGGAAGAAGATAACATCGGAATGAACTGCAGCCTCATGTTACAGCAGCCCCGGGACCACCCAACAGCACCCCCTCCAACCTTTGTAAATCCGACTATAATCCAATGAAAGATCAAAGCCCCCACCCCTCCATGCTGGTGTATCTCTCCCCAACATGCCCCTCTCCTTTTGGGAGAGTGAACAAACACTTGATTCTCTACACTTTCTCTCTTTGTGAATTCTTTCACAGCCTGGGTCACGGACAACCCTAACACCACATATGGACTCACCTACTCAGACTCACTCTCTCTGAGTTCCAGCACGGGGTGGGGCAGCGGGCAGCCTAAAGGGCGCCAGTGGTATACAGGGAGAGACTGAAGTATCTGGCATAGGGGTGAGAAGAGGTTATTGTCCCTTTGCTGAACCTTCCCCCAACAGAGCCAGCATGCTGGTACCATACCTGAAATTCCATCAACCTGGCTAACACTATGTGACCCATCCCACTCCCCACCCCCGGTTGGAGACCAATGAGGCTCTACTCTGCCCAATTTATGGGCCCACCAAAGCGGCTTTTCCTTAAGAATGACTGGTCTTGGTTCCTAAATCCTATCAAATAAGCAACAGGTGGCTTTAGAATCACAGCTTGGCTTCACCTGGGAATCCCCAAACCCAGCACAAGTAGCAGCCATCTCAGATTTCTTCATAGGTCAGGCAGGGTACCCTGGGCAGAACATAGGTAGAGGCTGACCTTGGCCTGCACTACTCAGGTAAACCCCAGGTCCAACGCACCCACTGGACAGCTACAGACCATGTCAGAGCACCACCACCCTACCCCCTTGGAAGCTAATCCTCCATGGAGGGTGGAGGTTGGTTGTTAGTGGTTACAGCCAGTCCTTAAGTTGACTGGCCTGGGTAAATTCCTCCCATTGATCTGCCAACAGCAACCAAAGCTCCACTACCAGAGGAGGGTGTACTCAGCCCACACAAAGTGCGTAGGATGAGTACCCAGCTAGGGTGATAGGGGAGGTTATGCCACTGGACCCTACGGGATACCTAGTACATTAGGTCTCACTACCAAGACACAGAGTCAAAGCAGCTCTACTTAATACATAGAAACAAACACAGGGAGGCTGCCATTTGAGGAGACAAAGAAACATGGCCCAAATGAAAGAACAGATCAAAATGCCAGGAAAAGAGCTAAATGAAATGGAGATAAGCAATGTATCAGATGCAGAGTTCCAAACACTGTTTATAAGGATGCTCAAGGAACTTAGTGAGGACCTTAGCAGCATAAAAAGGACCCAGTTAGAAACAAAGGATATACTAATTGAAATAAAGAACAATTTACAGGGAAACAACAGTAGAATGGATGAAGCCGAGAGTCAAATCAATGATTTAGAATATAAGGAATTAAAAATCAACCACACAAAATAAGAAGAAGAAAAAAAGAATCTAAAAAAAGATGAGGATAGTATAAACAGCCTCTGGGACAACTTTAAGAGGTCCAACATTCACCTCAGAGGGGTGCCTGAAGAAGAAGAGAAAGAGCAAGAAATTGGAAATCTATCTGAAAAAAATAGTGAAAGAAAACTTCCCTAATGTGGTGAAGGAAATACACATGCAAGTACAGGAAGCACAGAGAGTCCCAATTATGATGGATGCAAAGAGGCCCATTCCAGGATACATCATTATTAAAAGACCAAAGGTTAAAAATAAAGAGAAATTCTTAAAAGCAAGAGGACGAAGTTAGTTACTGGAAGGTTGCCAGATGGAAGCAGGGAGGAGGAGAATGGGTGAAGAGGTGCGGGGATTAAGAAGTACAAATAGGTAGTTACAGAATAGCCGTGGGGATGTAAAGTACAATACAGGACATGGAGTAGCCAAAGAATTTATACACATGACCCATGTACATGAACAATGGTTGAAGGATTGCTGAGGGGTATGGGGGTGCTGGCTGGAGGAGTAAAGGAGGAAAAATAAGGACAGCTGTAATAGCATAATCAATAAAATATAATTTTAAAAATTCTATCTTTTCAGACCCTCTGTCATTGAGCAGAGTCTATAGTCTGATTAGGGGATATAGACATTAAGCAACTATGGAGAAAATGTCCAAGGAAGGTTCCCAACTGGCCATTCATAGAAAAAGATTTCAATGTACTTGGGGATTCGATTCTTAATTCATCTAGTCCTTCTTATATTGATAATAGTAGTGCTTTCTAATGTCCTCGGTAAGCAAAATAAAAGTTGCAACTTTTTGCCAGTTCCCCAAAGGGAGAATGTTATTGGTTTGTAACATAAAAGAGTTTCAGACAAAACATTCTTCACTTTTGCCTCTTATTAGGAAAAACAGCTCTCTATAGCATCAATGTTCAACTGGTGAGGTACACACATGTGCCCCAAGAATTTTTCAAACATGCAATACTTGATCATTTAGTTGGGGCCCTGACCTCTTTTCCTTTAGATTGTCAAATAAAATAAAAATGACAACAGCCAACACAATAGCCCTCCACTGTGAATTAATAAAAATTATATCTATTTTTGGCCCCTGGCTGGCAGGCACAGTGGATTGAGTGCCGACCTTTGAACACGAAGGGTCATGGGTTTTTTCCCCTGGTCAGGGCACATGCCTGGGTTGCAGGCCAGGTCTCTAGTTGGGGGCATACCTGCCAGAGGAAACCGACCAATATGTCTCTTCCTCTGTCTCCTTCCCTTCCCCTCTCTCTAAAAATAAATAAATAAAAATCTTCAAGAAAATACAATAAAATGATTTTATTTTTAGAGAGAGGGAAGGGAGGGAAAGAAGAAAACATCAATGTTTGGTTGCCTCTCGCTCGCCCCCTACTGGGGACCTGACCTGGCCCGCCACCCAGGCCTGTGCCCTGACTGGGAATCCAACCAGCGACCTTCTGGGTGGATTGTGGCCAGGGCTCAATCCAGTGAGCCACCCCAGCCAGGGCATCATTTTAAAAATTATACCTAATATTTTCAGATCAGAAAAATATATTTTTGGGGGTGTGCCACAGAATTTTAATAATTTATGTGTGCCATTAGATGAAAGAGGTTGAAAATCCCTGCTCTTTAGTCTAGTTCTTTCGAAGGAAGAAAAACTACATTTCCCATGATGTCCTGGGCCAGGAAGGAAGTGAGGCTCGACCGGCTCCGTGCTTCCTTATACACCGGAAGCCAGTGCCTTAGTTCTTTTTCCCATCTTGCAAGGTAAGAATGGCGTCACTCTTCAGCAATACTCAACTTCGGGTCCCCAATCCTTGGCCATCCGAACCAGGAGGGTATCAAGTGGACACCTGCAAGGGTCAGGCATGCGCGGGGCCAACTGAGAGGCCTCCCCGGCGCTTCATTTGTCTCGCTAGGGTTTGCGGTGGCGCATGAAGAGGGTGAAATGGGTTGCGGTGGACGCTCCGGTCTCCAGCTATTTGCCACTCTCCGGGGCTTGGGGAACGAGGCCTTTCTGGGAATCCGTAGCAGGCCAATGGGTCTGCAGGGACTAGGGCCACGGCGCGCGAGCTCCGAAATCCTGGGTCCAGCTTCCTAAAGACGCCGCGGAGCTTGTCTCAGCCACGTTGGGATTTGGCACCAAGGCCCAGTGCTAGCTTTGCCATCTCCCCACGTCCGCGACCGGAAGTCGCCTCCTGGGCTTGGGGCTTTTTTCAGTCTGTCCAGAGTTTGGACGAATTATGTATATGTGTTCGCCTCCTAAGCTGAATTTTGAATGAGACAATAGGTAGGGTGAAAAAAGCAAAAGCCCTGGAATTAAATAGTTCCAAATTACTGCCTCGTTGCTGTCTAGTTGTGGAGGTTTTCTAAGGCTCCGTGTTTTAAGATTCATAGTTCCCAAAACAGGAATAATGGAATAGGAACTTTTGACCACTAAATATGTAGCAAGCACCTAAAAAGTGTAAGATAGCTTAACATCTTAAGGAACTTTATAGTGTGTTGGGAAGACAGCCACCAAATGAACTATTCCGAGGTGGGTGCACTTGTTCCAGGGAGGCCTGTATCTTACAGGGGGGGGGCTGCAAAGGATGTGGCTACTCGGGGAGGAAGGGTTTGTCTGGGAACCTGTCCTTGTACCGCTTGGATAGTGCCTTGTCATGCAATCATTGGTAAATGCTTTCCTTTAAATATACGTATCGATAGATGGCGGGTGAAAAGACCGAGAAGCCGGATACTAAGGAGAAGAAGCCCCAAGCCAAGAAGGCTGATGCTGGCGGCAAGGTTAAGAAGGGGAACCTCAAGGCTAAGACGCCTAAGAAGGGGAAGCCCCACTGCAGCCGAAACCCTGTCCTGGTCCGAGGGATTGGCAGGTATTCCCGGTCAGCCATGTATTCCCGAAAAGCCATGTACAAGAGGAAATACTCCGCAGCTAAATCCAGGGTAAGGGATGAGAGGAACCGCTGAGCATCACCTTATCTTTTAACCTTAAGGTTTTCGTCTGCCTCTGACGCTATATCGCATTTGTGTCCTGACAGGTTGAAAAGAAAAAGAAGGAGAAAGTTATGGCTACCGTCACTAAGCCAGTTGGTGGCGACAAGAATGGTGGTACTCGGGTGGTTAAACTTCGTAAAATGGTGAGTCTTGGAGGGCACTGAATTGGTTGATTGGTGGAAGCTTGAATACTGTTAGAGGGGTGTGCGTGTGTGTATGCTTGGGTTTTAGAAGTTTGTTTAACAGAAAATGGCTAATGAAGGGAAATGGGTTCCGGGTTTTCCAATTTGGCTTTATCACTCACTGTTTGATGTAAAGTAGAGTTACTTTTCTGTGCTTTTGTTTCTTTGCTGGTAAAACAAAGGTCTGTTGCACGGGGTGGTTGTGAGAATTAAATAATGCATAGAGCCTAGGATGCTGCCCAGCCTGTGGAGGAACTTCCATTATGGAAGTATCCCCAGATTCACTAACACTCTTCACAGTTGACAGTTACTGCCCCAGGAGGGAGGGAAAGTGATGCTTGGATTCCTAGTCAGCAGCGTTTGTGAAGTGGTTTTACTATCAGGTCTTAATGTTTGTGAGCAAAGCAGAACTGTCCACTAACGTGATGCAGTATAGTTACAGACAGGTTACTGTGAGTTACTGGTCATATCTTGGTAGTCTTTGCATGGGGTCCTGTTTTTATAATTGAACTGGCAGTCCTGGTCTAAACTCTCTGGTTTTGTACAGTTTGTTTTCCTTTGAGGATAAAATGGGAGGAATTGTGTTCATGTGACAGATGTGAACACACTTCACTTAAGTCAGAAAACAAGCCCTGCCTCCTTTGTAACACGCAGGATTCTGGGGAAGACAGAAGGGCTTGCGAATCAGTGTTCCACGACGGTATAATGATAGTTTGCCGTGTGATCTCCAAAGCTTGGTTTAATCCCACTTTCACCAGTGTAACTTGCTTGTTTATGTCTTTGCTTGAACACCCAGCTCCTTCAATAAAATGCATTCCACCTTGTATGTAAAGGATAAAAAAGTGTTGGCGTTTCCCCAATTAAAATTTTACTTAGAAATGAAAATGCAACAGTAAATAAAGCATTTCAAATAAGTAAAAGGGTTGTGGCAAAGGTTTCATTGATACTCGGCTCTACAAACCTAATTAGCTTATTTAAACAAAGTTGGGCCTGTGGACTCTCGCCAGCCTAGATACTATCCCACTGAAGACGTGCCTAGAAAGCTGCTGAGCCACGGCAAGAAGCCCTTCAGTCAGCACAAGAGAAAACTGCGGGCCAGCATCACCCCCGGGACCATCCTGATCATCCTCACTGGGCGCCACAGGGGCAAGGTGAGCTGAGCGGCGCCTGGCGTGCGTGATCCGAGGGAGTGCCTTCTGGGTAGGGTTTCCTTGCCGTGCTGACACCAACACCCAGTAACTAGCACAGCGTGTTTTGCCCATTATACTACACACTAGTTTATTACCACTTCCTGCTGTTGGTAATATTCCTGTGACAGATGAATCCGATGCCCCTGTATCCAAAAATTTTTATGTATGTGAGTTACTTCCCTTAGTTTGACTTGCAGGGATGGACTTGCTGAGTTAAAGGATGTTAATTTTTTAGTTGTCAAAGGTAGTGGCTACTCATTATTAAAAAGAGAACAAGCGCACAGCAGTACCGCTCACATCCTAGTGTCACCTGTTCACAGTTTGGTGTCGTCGAGTCCAGGATTGATGCTCAAGTACATATGTAAAGATTTCCTTTACCAAATTGGGACCTGTGGGTTGATTAATTCAGATGTCAGTTCCTAATTGCAGAAACTTTTGGCATTTCTGTTTAATTTACAGAGGGTGATTTTCCTGAAGCAGCTGGGCAGTGGCTTGCTACTTGTCACTGGTAAGAAAATCCTTGATTTTATGTTCTCTGAAACTTGTCTTTTCAAATGCTTACAGTATACACTTTTGCTTCCAGCTGCATGGGAATTTTTAATACTATGAGATTCTGAGCCCCATTTTGTTGCCTTATATACACGAGTTCTAATTTCAGTACCTAAGGTACTGAAATTTTATGTGGCAACATATCAACTGTCATCTAAAATGCAGAATGGTTGGCTACTAGCCTCAAAGAATGGATTTTGTCTAGACTTTGCAATTAGTCTGCCACTGGGCACTAGAATGGAGTTCCTGAACGGGTAAGGGAACCTTTACTGAGACCCCAGGCTCATGGGGTTCAGACAACCTGCGAGCCCAAGGAAGTGGAGGGGCCTTATTTAACCTTCTTGGGGCACAGGTTGTTGGTGTGGCTGCACTTCTTGCAGCAGTTGACAGCGGAGAGGTGCAGGCAGGTGTACCACTGGTGGCAGATCATCTTGTCACAGTTGTACTTCTGGGTGAGCTGTCAGAGGGAGGAGGACTCTCCGGTGCCACGACGCAGACAAAGCACCAAGTGCAGGGTGCCTCTTTCTGAATGTTGTACTCTGAGAGTGCAGCTATCCTGCGGCTGTTTGCTGGCAAAAATCAGATGCCGCTGGTCAGGGGCAGTGCCCTCCTTGTCGTGGATTTCAGCGTTGACGTTTTCACTAGTGTCACTGGGCTCAACTTTGGGGGTGATGGTCTTGCCGGTCAGGGTCTTCACCAAGATCTGCATCTCGGCGTCTGCTGAGGACGCTGCTCAGCCGCCTCGCCGAAGAGAAAGAACGACAAAGTCTTGATGCTGGCAACAGAAAGAGCAGTTTGGGGTTTCTTCAAATCCCGAGAAAAGTTAGAAATTCAGCTCACCTGATTACACCCAAGTCAGTGCTTATACCTTTGCTTCCCCTTTTCCTCATTATATTAACGTTTTCCCCCTTAGGACCTCTGTCCTATAATCGAGTTCCTCTGCGTAGAACACACCAGAAATTTGTCATCGCCACCTCCACTAAACTCGACCTCAGTGGTGTGAAAATCCCCAAGCATCTCACTGATGCCTACTTCAAGAAGAAGAAGCTGCGCAAGCCCAGACACCAGGAGGGGGAGATCTTCGACACCGAGAAAGAGGTGAGCTGCTGTTTCTGCCCTTGCCCCCACAGCCCTGCCTCCCCAGTTTGGGAGTGAAAATAAACAAGGTTAAGTTGTTAAACAAAAAAAGAAAAGAAAAGAAAAACAAAGTTGTAAATAATGAGGATTATCTGCGGAATGATATTGTTCGAGATTCTGCTAATAACAGTTCTTAATGGCAAATGGGAGCTCAACTCAGAATCCTGAGCAGCTTTGACAGAGCTCTGAATCATTGTACATTTTTGTTGGGAAATCATTGTTATTTATCTTAGATGGGTTACTACAGTAAACAAAAGGGTCAGAGCTGGTCTTGTTACATTAAAAATAGGTTGTGTTTTACAGCTCTCCAAGGAAAGTGATGTACCTGAGGTTGAATACTCGACGCGACTCCTTATGAGGTTAATAAGGTTAAATTCTTTTCTCTTTCTTCAGAAATACGAGGTTACGGAGCAGCGCAGGCTCGATCAGAAAGCCGTGGACTCGCAAATTCTGCCAAAAATCAAAGCTATCCCCCAGCTCCAGGGCTACCTCCGCTCGGTGTTTGCTCTCACAAATGGCCTCTATCCTCACAAGATGAAGTTCTGAATTTCTTTTGAAAAACCTAATTAAATAACTGGTCTGTTTCCTTCGTGTCTTTTTTTCTTCCCCTTGTCTCCCTGGTTATGTGGTTTGACTCAGGCAATTTAGTGGGGTGTTAGCCTCTGCTAAGAGGAATGGGGTTACTGGGGTAGAAACAGCTGCAGTGAACTACATCCGCTTTGGATCCACGTTCTAAGCTTCCTTAGGGTCTGGCGTCTCAGCTTTTCCACCCAGCACCCACCACTATAAAACGCATTTCCTCGGTCGTCACTGAACAAGTTAGTGACAAAAAGGTGTGAGGATGAGAGGTGTGGTCTCCAGGTCACAGACTGTCATCCCATTCAGTAATATGATGGCCATTTCTCCCCTCTCTGCTTCTCAGCCACACGCCCCGCATCTTTGCCGTTACTTTATTAAAGCATACAGAGCAAATGAGTATAGTCATGTACCCTCCCTTTTTAAACCAAAAACCTATTATACTGTACATACTGTTACAGATCTATAGATGATATTTTTTGATCACTGCATGAAAAGGGGCCGTCTTTACTGCTACATTGTACAGCAGTCCCCCTTCGTTCTTGGGGGATGTGGTCCAAGAGCTGTAGTGGGTGTCTAAAACCGCGGCTAGTACCAAACCCTGTATCTACTGACTGTCTTTTCATATGTACATACATACCCGTGGTGGCTTATACATTGGATGTAATAAGGTTAATGATGGGACAATTACACGCTGTAGTGGAAGTTACGTGAATGTGGTCTCACAATACTGTATTTCCTCTTGTGATAAGAGATGACAGGACACCCATGTGCTGAGATGAAGTAGGCAGTGTGGCAGTGTTAGGCTGCTGACCTGACAGTAACTCGGGGGGACCGTTGATCTGAGCGATCCCGGGTCACTGAGCCATGACAATGTCCGTGGTTGGGGATTCTCGTCAATTCAAGGGTTTTTGTGGACTAACCGGCTGGCTAGCATAGCAGGGTGGTAATCCATATCCCCAGGGAGTGCCAGAGATTGTATCTCTCAATTTAGGGTTGTGCACGATTTAAAACCAATTGTTAATTTCTGGGATTTCTCATGTATGAGGTATTGATGAACTGGGTAACTGAAACCATGGAAGACAAAACCGTGGATAAGGACTATTGCATGGCCTTCTAGGATATTTGGGTTTCTGTCCTTTGTAATTATATACAGTGTTGTAGTACATAGTAGTAAGTATGCATACAGAGAGCCAAGTAGGTAAGAATGATTTTTGGTGAATTAGAAGATTTATACATTTGAATTTTTGTCAAAATGCCAACTTGCTCTACAGGGGCTGTACCATTTCGCACTCGTGAGAGGGTGCCTGTTTCTCCGGGTTCCCTGAACTCTACGTTTTTGCTAATAGAGGTGAAAAATGGCTCGGCTTGTTTTGGATCTTATTTTTCTCTTTTTCTTTAAGATTTTATTTTTGTTTTTTAGACAGGGGAAGGGTGGGAGAAAGGGAGACACATCAGTGTGTGGTTGCCTCTCTCTCGTCCCCAACTGGGGACCTGGCCCGCAACCCAGGCATGTGCCCTGACTGGGAATCGAACCAGCAGCCCTTTGGTTCACAGGCCCTCACTCAGTTCACCAAGCCACACCAGCAAGGACTGTTTTTCATTTTTTAAAGTCAGCTCCCACTCCAGGCGACCACTGATAGAATTTCCGTCCCTGTAGTTTTTCCTTTTTCAGAGCGTCATGCAACATGCTAAATCTTACTACATCTTTGAGATTCATGTTCATGGTTCAGTAGGTCTTTTTGTCAGTATTCGGCTGTATCAAATGTACCACTACTTTAAAATTGAGCCATTGAAAGACGCTTGTGTTTTTTACAGTTATTGGAGAGTGTTAATAAAGCAACTGAATTGCATACGGGTTTTTGTGTGGACATAGTTTTCATTCCTCTTCAGTGAGAATAAATTACAGTCACCATACTGTACGTTACACCCTCATGTTTGTCTTTTTTATGTTCTGGCCATTGCAGTAGGATATTCCTTTCCCCCACCTGACTACAACCATCCCTTTGGGTTAGCTCTATTGACATTTGGAGCTGGACAGTTTTTGTTGGGGGGGTGGGGTTTCTGTTCTGTGCATTGTAGAATGTTTAACAGCGTCTGTGGCCTCTACCCATTAAGGCCCGTAGCACCCAAACTCCCATCATGATGGTAAAAGTCATCTTCAGGCCGCGCCAAATGTCCTCTTGTAGGTGAAATCTCCAGTTAAAACCTCCCTAGAGCTCCTGGCCCCCCAAATACGGATCAGGTACCTCTGCCCTGAACTTCCACATCAGACGTGCTTCCTGCAGCATAATGTCCCGATTACTTGTCTTCTCACCCATTAGAGTTTCAGCTTCTTGAGGATAGGAGCTATGACTTAGCTTAAGGGCCTAGCAGAGAGGAGGAACTTAACTCCTTGTTGGATGAAAGATTTCCACAGGTAAGTTTCTAGAAGTGGAATAATGGATCAGAAGGCATGGTCCTTGTATGACTTCTGCACAGGCGTAGCCAAAGTGCCTTACTGAGAAGACCATGCTGATTTGTGTTTACCCCAGAGCTTTGCCATCCTGGGTTCAAATGACTTTTCCGAGGTGGCACACAAAGGAACTGAGACCCCAACCCGCCCGGGCAGACCATGATTCGAGCACCACACACACTGCATTTCATGCAAGTGCTTTTCTTTGGGTTACTAAATTTCCCCCACCACCCTCTTGTTTATTTAGCTAACTCATACACATCAGTTCCCAGCATTCAATGCGACGTCCTCAGGGACACTTCCCCACTTTTCAGACCAGGTTGCAGGACATCTCATCCCCTTTGGAATCACTTGTATCAAATCGCTTCCCATCCTAAGCTTCCTGAGACAGGGAAGCTACCTGTCTCCTACGAACCTAGCTTGCACAAATCAGGCAAAGTAAATGTTGAATGGATGAAAACAGTGTTTGCTTTTCCTCGGGTGCAAGCTCTGTGATCGTGTCTTTTGCCCACTTTTCTTTTGCGGGGGCTACTGGTTCCTAATCTGTTTTCACAGCCTGGCAGTTTTTGCAAATTTACAACTTCAAATTGAAAATTCTGGTGCAGCAAGCCCCCTTAATGCCCACAGAGGGGCGCAGGAGAACATGGCATCCTCGGGGCACCAGCATGCTGGTTTCTCTGAAGAGAGCTGCTCTTAATGCGGCTTTTCATCAATGTGGAGGTTTGTCCCTTAGCTACGGTAATTCAAAGGCTCCAAGGAGATTTTCTCCCTCTTCGTTTTCAAATATCTTTCATTGGATTTCTTTTTCCTGCTGCCTCAGCCTAGTAGATCCACCCATGAGCTGAGAGAATATTTGGAAAACAAACAAAAAAGAACAGGACTTACCATGTCCCTTGGAAAAAAGATTTTGAGTAGGTGTATGTTTCCTCTTTGAGATAGTGATTAGTGAGATGGAAATAATCAATCTCCCCCACGGATTCTGCCCGTGTGTGTGTGTGTGTGTGTGTGTGTGTTTTCTTTGTGTTTTGAAAGACCTTAAAAATTAACATGGCTGCTTTTTTTTTTTCTAAGCTATTTCGAGCTCTATTAGGCTTATCAAGGGCTACTTATCTTCATGCCACACTCGCATTTTCCTGAGCCTGGTAAGGATTACAGACTCATTTTAGACAGTCAGCTGGTGCAGAAAAGCCCACAGAAGGGAGAGATATTGCAAATCCCAGAGGGGCCCCTTCGGGGCAGCAGGGAGATGGTCTCCATCAACAAGCTTGCTCCCTCTTGGGGTGATGCCTCCCAGGGGAAACTGAGTCCTACCTCCTAAGAGCTATCCACCCTGCTTTCTCGGGTTTCTTTACTTCCAAGTTAAAGTTGCCAGCACCTTTTCTTGTTCCTTTTCCCATTTTGACACCTCATTCTCAAATGGAAGCATGGAAAGGACAATTCCAAAGAGAAGGAGTCATAAACCAGAACACTTTCTGAGTCTATGAATGGATGTTTTTCTGTGTGCATGGTGTGTGGTTGTGAGTGTGTGTATGTGTCTTGTCTTGACTAAATTTAGATTCTCTGCCTCCAGGCTTCCAGCACCAAGTTCTTTTAACCAGGAACTTTCTTTGTCTTGCTGATCCATTCTAGAAATTCCCAGTAAATGGTTTCTTTCCAGAGGGGGTTCTATAAATATTAATTCATCAGCAGCCTCATCATGGTACGGTGGCAGCCATGTGGTCCTATGACTAATTAATTACTGTTGCTAAAATATTAAATAACTACTCATTATGCAGTACAAAGACTTTCAGTCCTGGATATGTGCTGTTTTCACTAACAGGGCTGAAGGACAATAGTTCCTGGACATCTTGACTCCTGATCTTGAAATATAAACAGTAAAATCAGGAGAATTTGTCTCTGAGCTGCACAAGATGGTTATTTATTTAGATCTACTAGGGGCTTAAAAATGCTTGACTAAATATCATGGAAATGAAATTAATCATTGTAAGGAGCATGAGATTGTTGCAACAGTACAATGTATACGAATTATTTATTTGGGAGGGAGGCAGTGCAGGATGGAGCCAGCTATGGATGGGTTCAAGTGTCCATCCTGCCAATCCCTAAGTTGATGCAAGTCACTTAATTATTAGCCTTGTAAAATGGGGCTATTAATGAAAACTCTGAAGGGTGTTATGACAGATAAATGAATGAATACACCTTCACTCTTAGGTGCTCAATAGCTTTTATTTTTTATTTTTACTTTTTTCAAAAGTATGCATGTTCTAGAAAGAAAACTTGGGCACCTAAGAAAACATCCAAAGCAAAAAAACAAACAACAAAAAAACAGCCCCACACATTCCCCAGCTGCTTGTAAATGCACTGCTGAGAGTCACCCAAATGTTATCAGGCGTAATACCGTCCCAGACTTTTATTCTACACCTATGTTCATACATGCATGTAATTTGAAAAATGCAATCATACTATAAATACAATTCAATTTCAAAATATCCTCACTGTTTTGGCTAGATTTTTTTCCATTATCAATATATCATGGACATTCACTCATGTCAATAT